GTATACTAATGAAGGAATTTCTTTTTCTTTTTTTTTCTTTTGGAGAGGGGAGTGAACTGGTGGGGAGGGGTGGGCAGGGAGAAAAGTGCAGCAAGGAATGAATGGAAATCCAAAATCTCTGTAAATGTCTATTAAAATTAATTAAAAAAAAAAAGAAAGAAGAGGAAAAAAAAGAAGAAGAAGAAACTTCAAATGTAATAAAACAACTTCCAGGCAAGAAAAGCCCTGGACCAGATGGTTTTACAAGTGAATTTTATCAAGCATTCAGAGAAGAACTGTCACTAATTCTATATAAACTATTTCAGACAATGAAAAAAGATGGATTTCTCCCAGACAGATTCTATGAAGCAAACATTCCATGATATCAAAGCCAAGTGAAGACACCACCAAAATAGAAAACTAAAGGCCAGTATCTCTCATGAACGTAGATGCAAAAGTCTGAATAAAATCCTGGCCAATAGAATCCAACAGTATATCAAAAAATAATGTACCATGACCAAGTGGGATTCATAACAGGTATGCAACATAAGAAAAACAATCAGTGTAATTCATCACATTAACAATGCTAAGAACAAGAATCACATGATCATATCAATTGATGCAGAAAAAGCCTTTGACAAAATCCAACACCATTTCCTGATTAAAACACTTTACAAAATAGGAATAGAGGGGAATTTCCTTAACATAGTAAAAAGTGTATATGCAAAACCAAGAGCAAACGTTGTTCTCAATGGAGAGAGATTCCCTTTGAGAACAGGAATTAGGCAAGGATGCCTACTGTCACCTCTCCTATTCAATATTGTATTGGAAGTCGTAGTGATAGCAATAAGACGACATAGAAATAAGAGGTATCCAAATTGGCAAAGAGGAGGAAAATTCTCTCTATATGCAGATGTTATGATAGTATACTTAGAAACCATAAAGACTCAGCAAGAAAACTGCCAGACATAGTTGACCAATTCAGCAAAATGGCAGGATACAAGATCAACATACAAAAGTCAGTTGGATTTCTCTACAGTGACAAAGAGAATACAAAACTGAAGCTAAGAAAATCAATACCCTTCACAATAGCTAATCACAAGATTAAATACTTGGGAATAAATCTAACCAGAAGCACAAAGGATCTATTCAAAGAAAATTACAAAACATTACTACAAGAAACAAAAAAAAAGACCTGGAGAAGTGGAAGAATGTACCTTGCTCTTGGATAGGAAGACTCAATATTGTGAAAATGGCAGTTCTATCAAAGTCAGTCTACACATTCAATACAATCCCAATACAAATACCAGTTCCATTCTTCAGGATGGAAAAGGCAATCTCCAATTTAATTAGGAAGGGAAAGAGACCTCGAATAAGCAAAGTACTCCTTAAAAAGAGAAACAAGATAGGAGGCATCTTACTGCCTGATTTCAAATCCTGCTACACTGTCATGGTGGTCAAGAAGTGTGGTATTGGTACGATGACAGAAACATAGATTGATGGAATAGAATTGAGAACCCAGAAATTAGCCCATCTACCTATGGTCAACTCATTTTTGACAAGAAGATGAAATCATTGAAGTGGGGAAATGACAGTTTGGTTTTTTTTAAAAGAAATTTCCATTTCTTTTTATCTCACTACGTATATTATAACCTGATATCTAGGTTAGAAATATGTATAAGGAAGCGGGGGTAGGGGGTGGTGTATAAAGAGACTGAAAAGAGATAAGTTTAAGGTAAAAAAAAATCAGCAAAATAAGATACACAAAAGAATTACAAAGTAGAAATTGTGTTCCTTGACTTGAGCAACACACTCTTTATTGAGATCTGTTTTCTGTAAGTGTTGGACACTCTGTAGTAAACCACACAGAGAAAGCTACATTGGCCTAGTGGACAGAAAGTTATGCTACCACGCCTAAGATGGGTGATTTTAATCTGTGGCCTTCAGGCCTGGTTTAAATTGTCTTTTGTCAAACATTCTTCTAAGTGGTATAGCACTGGTCTATGCATTGCTGTACAGAGGGATCCTTATACTTATCCTCTTGGATCCTTATACTCGTTCTACAATAATGGTTTTATACAATATTTATCCTTATGAGACTAATTCACTCAGCATAATGCTCTCCAGTCCCTCCCAGGTTAGGTAATAATTTACAAAATCATTGCTCCTGCATGCTGCATAGTATTCTGTTGTGCATATGTACCATAATTTCTCAATCCATTTGTTTGTAGTCGGACATTTGGGCTGTTTCCATGTTCTTGCAATGGTGATAAATGCTGCTGTGAACATTGGTGTACAAATCTCAGTTTGTGCCTCAGTTCTCATTTTCTCAGGGTATGTTCCAAGTAGTGGAATAGCTGGGTCATATGAAATGTCTATGTTCAGCTTTTTGAGGAAGCACCAAAGTGCCTTCCAGAATGATTGTACCATTTTCAATCCCACCAACAATGTACAAGAGTTCCTTTCTCACCACATCCTCTCCAACATCTATTACTTGCTGCCCTGTTAAACTTTGCCACTGTTACTGGAGTGCAGTGGTACCTCAGTGTGGTTTTGATTTGCAGTTCTCTTATTGCCAGTGATTTGGAACATTTCTTCATGTGTCTGTTTGCCATTCAAATATCTTCCTCTGTGAAAATTCTTTCCATGTGTTTTGCCCGTTTTAAAATTGGGTTATCAGTCTTTTTCTTGTAGAGGCTCAGGAGTATTCTGTAAACTTGTTATAAGACTCTTGTCTGAGATGGTATTACCAAATGTTTGTTCCCAGTCTGTAGGGTTTTTTTTTCACCTGTCTTTTTAACAAATGGTTGGCAAAATTGGAAAACTATCTGTAGAAAACTGAAGCAAGACCCACACCTCACACCATACAAAAACAACTCAAAGTGAATCGAGGACCTAGAACCAAAACAAAGGACTATAAACTTCATGAGAGAAAAGCTTGAAAGTATTCTAGAAGCCCTAATCCACAACATGGACAGTCTTCCAAGCATCCTGAAAAACCTACAACCAGGAGTGGATAAAATAGATGAATGGGACCTTCTAAGAATCAAATCCCTGTGTACATCAAAAAATTTCTCCAACAGGGTAAAAAGGAAAGCCACATTCTGGGGGAAAATATTTGGTAATGACATGTCCGATAAGGGACTTATATCTAGAATTTATAGAATATTCGAGCACCACAATTAGATAAAGGTAAACAACCCACTTGCAAAATGGGCACAGAATATGAAGAGACTTCACCAAAGAATACATTCAGATGATGAACAAACGCATGAAGAAATGTTCAAAATCCCTGGCTTTAAGAGAGATACAAATCAAAACAACTGTGGGATATCATCTCACCCCAGTAACAATAGCGAAATTCAACAGAGCAGCAAATAACATATGCTGGCAAGGTTGTGGAGAAACTGGGACCCTTATTCACTGTTGAGGGGAGTGTAAAATGGTACAGCCACTATGGAAGTCAGTATGGCACTTTCTCAAAAAGTTGCAAATAGAAATAACATGTGACCCAGCAATTCAATCACTACTGGGAATATACTCTAAAGAAACCAGAACTGCCTCCCAAGCAAATATATGCACACCCATGTTATTGCTGCATTTTTCACAATAGCAAAGGGATGGAAACAGCCCAAGTGCCCTTCAACAAATGAATGGATAGAGAAGCTGTGGTATATTCACACAATGGAATACTATGTAGCGCTGAAAAAGAAGATTATACTAAACCATACTAGCACTGAAGTGACTTCTGACAGGTATTCATAAATCTTTGTGGACACAGACTGTCATATGTTTCTCTCAAAGAGAAGAGGTTTCAAATTGCTGACCTGGAAGTTCTGATGCTTTAGTTTTTAGTGAGTTAACATTGTTAAGGCAAAGGCTGCATCTCTATTCATTTGAATCCACCAGTGGCTCCACAAGAGAAAGATGAGTAATGCCCTACCACATTGATTTAAAGCCTTTGAAAACCTGCTGAAGGGTTGGCTGAGTCAATTTCAACCCGAGAGCATCACGTTTGACTTTTATTTGGTTTTCATAAAGAATCACTGGTGGCAAAGTGATTAAAGAATTTAACTGCTGAGGAGACCAGTAGTTCAAACCCATCAAACAGTCTTCAGGACGAAGATATAGCAGTCTGTTTCCATAAAAGATGTACTGCCTTGGAAACTCTCCAGTGCAGTTCTCCTGTCAGGACCCTATGGAATTGGAATTAACTAAATGACAGTATTGTCAGGTGCTGTTGAATCAAGTACAACTCACAGCAACACTATGAACAATAGATGTGAACCGTGTCCTGTCCTGTGTCATCCTCATCATCACAGACACACTTGAGGGCATTGTGGCAGTTGGTGTGTCAGTCTGTCTTTTTTGAGGGTTTTCTTCTTTTAGGCTGAACCTCCCCCTTTCTCAACATGAAGTCCCTCTCCAAGAAATCCAAGGAATAGCTTCTGCTACAACATACCTAAAGTATGTGAAATGAAGCTTCACCATCTTTTCCTCATTTTCTGATAACAATAGGGGCTGTTTTGATTGTTGTTACTTGTAAATACTAAAGATCATTTACAAGTCAAAGCTTATCTTTTATACTTTACAATATTTTTCATTTTCGATCAGATTTTAGCTCCAAAATACTGATAAATTCTTTAAATCTGGTCCTAACTGTAGTTTGTCAGCTATCATATTTTACTGAACATAAATTTCAGCAGCTATCCTCATGTAATTTCAGCCCATAACTCACTTTCAATTTGTGTTATAGAACTAGTACACACAGAGGGGCAGCTTCAAAATGAAGAAATTGTGGTAAGTACATAAACCTGGTAGAGACAAACATTATTTGTAACTAACACATTTTATTTCAATTTTAACTTCTCTCCGTTGTCGTAAAATTAGTAATATGATGTTGTAGATTCTGTATGTAATCAGCCTAAAGAGAAAGTTATTCTCAATAATATTATAATTAAACTGCAATAATCATAAATTAGGTACTGATCTATCATAGAACGACAGCAAAGAGAACACAGAATTCACTTGTTTTACTTTTGTTCATGTATTTATTTTGAAGTGTTTCTTTACGTGGCCTTTCATTTGTCTCTGCAACCAAATGAATAGGAATGAGGAAAGATGGAGATGCCAAAATTGGATGTTAATTTAAGCATGAAAGGACAAGAGAGCTTCAAATAGGGGAACTGGAGCATAGGATCAGCAACAAATAAGCCAAAGAGAGATGAGGTGGAAAGAGAACCAGTATTTTCTAACAACATTCCATTGGGCTTTGCTTGTCAAGTGGAATGAATGTCTGTTGACAAGGAAGCTGCTGCCTCATCAGGAGTTCCTCTGTTTCTGCTAGTTTGTCAGGCCCTAGTTTCTAGACAAAAACAAACACAAAAAGTAAAACAACTGAATGTGGGGATATTTTCCCCCTCTCCCACAGTAGTAGTGCTTACCTTTTCTCTAAGTGGACCTTAAAGTGAGGATCTCTTCTCCATCAAGTTTCCTTCCTGATGTCTGGGGAGCTGCTGTGGCATTAGTGTTTGAAAAGATTCTGTAGAAAATTTTTTATTCTCATTAATCCCCTTCTCTGCCATCAGAATTTTTCCCAACGACTGAGAAAGCCAGTGGGGGCAATTGAAGCAAAAAGTTATTAATGATATAATTCATAACTATATAATATGTGATAATAACTATATCAATGATATTTAATTTTATCTTCTGTTTTTATCTATTTACCTAATAGTTATGGTTACAGAGTTATCTAGTCGCAGGCTCTGCTATATTTTGTATTTTGCTTTAAAACTCGGTGAGAATCAAGAGTTACAGCATTAAAGGGAAATGAAGGTCTGGAAAACACCTGTAATTTTATTGCCTTGCCACAACAGCTTCTGTTAAACTTGTTTTCTTCTAGTTTTGATTCATACGCACTGTATAATTACAATAATAATTTGTGTATAATTTTATATTTTATTACTTTATAGCAGAAAATAAGCTCCATTATTGCAATTTTAAAATACTATCTTTGTAGTCAAACACACCAAACTTTCTCCCCTTCCCACAAGTCATCATAAGTAAAGTTACAGGGAAAATCTTAGACATATATTTCTTCTATCATCATCATCATCACCCTTTTTTATTACAGATTAAGGTTCAGTAAGTTAAATAATCAAGTCTAAGGCTTGTTTGTTGTTGTTAAGTACTGTCGAGTTGAGCACGACTTACAGTGAGTGACCCTATGAGCAAAAGACCTGAAACTTGTTCTATAACTATCGTCCTTTCTCTATGTTCATAGAATTTCAGAGGCATGTTGTTTAGAAAGTGGATACCACTCCTGCTTCTAAGCCTCTCACATATTTAGCTCTTGATATATATATTTCCAGATTGCTTGCCAGAAAAATTATGTAAAAATATAACATGTTTCAGAGTTGTATATTCTGAAGTTTCATTAACCAAATGGTACTTTTAGAATATATATATATATATCAGAAATGTAAAGTTGAAGCTTTTCGGTCCATCCTCTATTTTTCATCAAACTAAGAAAAGAATAAAACTTGGCTAGTATACACCAAAACAATGATTCTTTTGTCTTTGTAGTTGGCTTCTGTCCTGAACATTTTATATATTATTATATGTAATACATGCTTAACATATTACTCGTGCATCCAGTGCCTTTATTTAGTCTACTAACTGCTTGTTAGCAACTAGCTAGAACTACAGAAAGCATTCATATTGATTTCCTTCCCCGGCAGGTACGTGATGGTTCCGCCACTCACTTGAGATTCATTATTAAATCAGCATTTGATCATTTTGCATCCGTGCATAGCATTTCTGCAGAGGGAATAGCAGTCTCAAAGATTTCCTAGTACTTCTAAGAAGCTATCATTGTTTAGGTTTTTTTAGAAATATTATTTATTTCTATATGAAGTTGTCATTGAAATATTTCATTAAAGAAATTTGTATCACTCTGGTTTGAGTTACTTATTTGCTCTTCAGCATTTTATATAAAGGAACTCTGCTTTCATCAGTCAGCAGCGCCCACCATCATGTAGGATATAAGGAAGCTCTTTAACATATAACTTATTAATCAGAGAGGTGACTAAAAAACATGAAAATTTAAATGACAGTACATTGTGTCACCCTAGTCTCTAACATGGTGCCCTTCAATCTCAGCGTGTTAATTTTTAAAATTATTTGATTGATTTACTGTAAACCTCAGAGAAGAGAGAATACTCAGGAGGTGTTTTTGGGTAATATTATTACCCAGAAAGAGCTATTACTGATATTTTAACATATTTCAGAAATAGCAATGTTATCTCCCCAAATGGGAGATTTATTCTGTATTGAGCCATTTTGCATATGTGTTGACTTTTGTGATCCTTTTAAAAATGCTTTCTTTGGTAAAAACTATTGCTGTCTCATTTTGAATCTGCCACACTTCAGATTTGTAGAAGTTTGGTGACTTGGTCCAGAGCCTGACCTGCTCACACAGTGTGCCCTCTGGGTTTACTTACAGCCGTCTTCCTGAGCAAGTGCCTTCCTTCTCAGGGCCCCAGTACCCCTCACCCTAAAGTGAGGAGACTGGACCAAATGAGGTTACCGATAATGCATTTTACCTTGACTTCCTTTTATAGATTGATAACACCTCCTAAAAATAGGCCTTCTTGTAGGTAACACATAAAATCTGCATACTTCCTTTCCACTAAAATTTTATCACCCTCATTTTTCCTGTTAATAACAATTCTCTATAAATTCTTCTTTATTGGTTATACTGTATATTATTCTATGATGACAATGTATCCTTATTGCACAGCCCTTATAAAACTGGACATGTAGATACTGCTGTCTTTATTGGCTCTGGGTAGTACAGATGGTTAAATGCTTGACTAATAGTGAAAAGCCTAACAATTTTAATCCATCCAGAGATACGTTGGAAGACAAGCCTGGTGATCTGTTTCCAAAAGGCCAGAGCCTTGCAAACCCTCAGAACATTCATTCTGCACACATGGGACTACCATGAGTCAGTATTTACTCTATGGCAACTAACAACAACAACAACAATAATGCATTTTACCATTAAAAACAGTGGAAAAAAGTGAAACAAAACAAACTTATTGGGGGGGGGAGGAACAAAGGTATCTGGTCAGATAGAAAGTGGTGAAACTCCTGAGACTGTGGCCCTTGTTGTGGTTGTGAGGTCCTGTCGAGTTGAGTACAACCCATAGCAACCCTTCAGATCTGAACCTTGTCCTATCCTGCGCCATCCTTACACCTCCTGATACACTAGAGCCCAGTACAGCAGTCAGTGTGTCAATCCACTTGGTTGAAGGTCTTCTTTCTTTCACCATCCCTCCATCTTTGCAAGAATTTTGTCCCTCTCCAAGGAATAGCCTCTCCTAGCAACATGTCCAAAATATGTGAGACAACTTAAGGCCCCAGGAATTGATGGGATACCAGTTGACATATTTCAACTAACACATGCAACTTTGGATGCACTCACCAGTCTATGCCAAGAATTTTGGATGACAACTGTCTGGCCAACTAATTGGAAAGGATCTATATTTGTTCCCATTCCCCAAAAATGTGATCCAATAGAAAGTGGAAACTACAGAATAGTATCATTACTACCACATGCAAGCAAAATACTGCTGAATATCATTCTAAAAAAGCTAGAAAAGTACTTAGATAGGGAACTGCTAGAAGTTCAAGCAGGATTTAGAAGTGGCTGTGGCACCAGGGACATCACTGCTGATGTCAGATGGATTCTGGCTGAAAGTAAAGAATACCAGAAGAATGTCTGTTTCTTCTTTATTTGACTATCCAAAGGATTATTGCCTTTAGCCACCTTCCTACCTAGAACTTAACTCACCCTCCTGGCTCTACTTTCAAACAAATAAAACATAGGTCCATAAAGTAAACAGTATTATCAGCAAAGAATGCACTTCTAAGAATAAGTGACCATTTGAGGGGGGGGAGTGAGTGTAGTGTTTGCCCAGGGACCAAGTGGAGAAGGCAAGAAGAGATAGCAAAAAGGATGAACAGAAATGAGGAAACAGTAAGTGGAATACTGTTACCTGGTGGGATTGCTATCAATCTCATGAAACTGTCTGTTAACTATTGAATGGAAAACTGATAAGCTCTGTAAGCCTTAACCCAAACTGCAATAAGCTCTGCTCACTACCGTCGAGGTGGAACGTGCTCATGGCTGACACTCGAGCAGATTTTTAGAAGCTGTAAATACCATGAGAGGAGTTTGCCTTTCTTTCTTCTACAGAACTGCGAGTGGATTAGAACTGTCAGAAAGATGGCATCTTTGGTTTAGCATTCTGGTTGCACTTCTCCCACGATATTTGTTTGTTCTTTTGGCAGTCCATGGGATATTCAGTATTCTCCAACATCACAACTAAAAAGATGTCAGTGCAAGGGAGCTCTGGTGGCCTAGTGGCAAGAAGCTGCCCAGCAGTCCTGTAGGTGTGCCGTTCGAATCTACCAGATGATCTGCTGGAGAAGGAGGGGCAGTCTCCTCCTGTGCCAGTCTATTAGATTCAATGGTACACAACAAGAAAAAAAAGTAGCAGCATCTTGTTATTTCCTTTCTGGGGAACCCTGGTGGCCTAGTGGCAAGATGCTGTGCTACAATCCCGAAGGCAGGCTGTTTGAATCCACCAGATGCTGTGCTGGAAAACGAGGAGGGCAGTATTCTCCTGTGCCAGTCAAATCCGATTTGGCGGTACACAGGAAAAAAAAAAGACATCAATGTTTAGTCACTGTCCAGATGTCTAGCAAGTAATTGAAAAGACTATGGCCTGAGTCGGGTGCACTTCAAACTGACATCATTGCTTCTCAGTGATTTGCAGAGGTCCTTGACAACAGACTTTACCAATGCTGTCCATCTCCTGACTTCCCCAGTGCTATACTCTCCTGACTTCCTTATCAAGGGTGCTGATTGTGGATCCAAGTGAGAAAAAAACCTGCTGGACAGTTAACTATGACTTGGTTACAACTTTATGGCAGTGAGAGAGATGACAACTAAATGGTTTATGCTGTTGTAAGAGACAAGTCCCAAGTCTCCAGGTGAGACCTCAAGAGAGACAGGCCTCAGAAGCCAGGGTCTGAGTCATCAGTAGGCAGAGTCTCAGGCTGTTGACTTTGGAAACTGCTGGCTGCCAGCTGCAGAGGCTGACATGTGCAAGATTGTTGAGAAAGAGTTGACGATGACCAGCTTTGTATACTAATGCGAGTAATATCAGCAAGTACAGCAGACCACTCATTTAAGTCTGGAGACCATGAGCTAAATGGTCACATGTAGGTCTGACAAAAGTGTTGCCAGAAAGTCTAAAGATAAATATCATGCAGGCCACACCCTTGAGAAGAACTTGACCTTAATCAGGTAAAGATAATTGTGTATTTACGGATTTGTTTACAATCTGGCTTTATTTACATTATAGAGGTTAGGATTTATAACAGAGAATAGTTACATTATACCCAGAATCATGACCATATTGACACAAAATAGCATTCCTCTACAAAACTGAGGAGGACCTCATGCACTTGCTGCGAAGGGTCAAGGACTGCAGCCTTCAGTATGGACTAAGGCTCAACGTCAAGAAGACAAAGATTCTCGCC